CTCAAATAGGGGATTCTCCATCTGGGATTCCCAGAGACGAACCAGCCCAAGGCTAAAAGTCTCTTTAATAAAGAAAAAAAAAAAAAAAACCTAAGAATGTATAGAGATAAAGCTCAAAATACAGTTTTAACTTATGGTACTTTATAAACATCAAACTGTCCAACACACGGCGCCGGCACGGTAATGTGGGCCGTCAGAATGGTTCATCGGTTGCGTAGTGAAGTGCTTCTCAAACTGAAGCGATGCATTTCTCAATTTTTCAACGTTATCCTAACGTAAACTAAATATTATGACCCATATGCCCGTTCACGTCCGAAACCCATCCACCACACAAAATCAAATAAAAATGTTTCTGCATGACAAACACGTCCAGACATAAACGAGAATATGGGTGTATATCTTCACTGTATCAACTACGGGTAATCATCGAAAGTACTTGCATTTTACTCAGGCACTTTTGAGCAAACTGCAATCACTCTCTCATACTCGAAATGTGCCACGGTCAAATTGGCACAACGAAGCCCTATACGCTCTCTGACCGAAGCGCAGGGGCTCAAAACAACCGGTAAAAGCCCGGGAAATTGCAAGTACACCTAAAAGCCCGGGGTAGGGCAAGTGCACCAGTATTGGCCATAGGTGCCTATTTTGGCCACACCTCAGAAAACCGATTAAATTACAATATTCGTGCATTTTAAAATGAAACTATTATTTGCATTCCCTAGTTCACCTAATATGTAGCCCCATGCAAAGAAGTCGAGAGAATTCAAATCGGGTGAGGAGGCAGGCCACTCTTTCGACGAAACGAAATCCGGGAAATTGGCCTCACACCAAGCCTTGTAACTTTTGCCTGATGGGACGGTGCAGATTCTTGTTGGAAGCAGTATGGTGCATTCTTATAATGTTTTTGGACGAAGGGAAGCAAGTGGTTCTTCAAAACATTATCGATGTAATATTTACTGTTGATTTTAACGGTTCAATGAACAGCAATGGAACTTTCAATGTTTTGGAGAAACATTCCCAAATCATCACCCTGGAAACATTCTGGAACCTTTGAACAGCCAGTTTGTCACGAGAAATATCAGAAAGATATGCAGCATATACCCCATCATTTGGCTGGTTGTGGTGATCCTGTAGCAGGAACATTTTCTCATCCGAAACAGAATTTCGCAATCACCGTGCCGTTTGAGCAGTTTCCGACATCTTTCGACTCTAGCTATCTTTTGCTTTCCGGTCAAACCAGCACTCGCTGTTTTTTGCAAGCATTCAATCCGAGATCATCTTTCAAAATACTCCTGTTCGTTGGCTGCGATATTCCGAGCTCTTTGGCCATCTTACGTCCAGACTTACAAGGACTCCGCCGAATCCGCTCTCTCAATTGTTTGATAACTTCCGGAGTCCTGACACTGCGTTTTCGGCCAGGGTCTGGGAGGGATTTTCCACGAGCCGGTTTCCTTGTACCGTTTAATGGTGTGAAAGATGAATCTTTCGTTTATTCCGAGTGGCTTCAGCGTCTTCAAAATAGAACACGGTCTTTTTTTTTTTTTCCTTGGGTTTGTTTTTTCCGTCGATCTTGTTTTCCGTGCTGAGCACCAATGCTACCGACGTGCCAGGAAGGCAGCTCCCACACCTGGACCCTACCTATCGACCCATCAACTTATGAACCGGGGACCAACGGCTTTACTTCTCATCCGAAGGAAGGCGTGATCAGATATGTTATGCCTCAGAACATCCCAGCGGCGCCGACTGGGATTGAACCCAGGCCTGCTGGGGTGAGAGGTAATCACGCTTACCACTACACCACCGGCGCCGTTTGAACACGGTCTATGATGCTTCAAAAACAGGCTTATCACGAGTTCCCTTTTCGCGTCCATGATTATCACGAGTATCAAACGAATGAAAATTCAAAACAAACTTGCATGCCGTGTTGACATTTGAACACACTCTAAAAGAAAAAAATATGCAGATATGTATGTGATTAACCCATTTGATCCTACAATTGCTTAAAAAACACTGACAGGAATTACCTTTCACCCTGTAGTTCATGATTTTAACTCGGATAATTCATGATTTCGGGAATCTTGGGTGCGTTACGCAAACATAGCTCATGATGTGATGAATATTATTCATGGTGTATTTTCATAACATGAAAATACGCTATGCTCATTTCGGAGATTGGATTTGTTCCCGTGTAGTGGTAAGCGTGACTGCTTTCTCACCCCAATGGGTCTGGGTTCAATCCCAGCCGAGGTCGGTGGGATTTTTCTGAGGCATACTTAGCTTCCTTCGGAAGGGAAGTAAAGCCGTTGGTCCCGGCCCATGTGTGTTGAACGGGTGCGATAACCTACGCAGGTGTGGAAGCTGCCTTTCTGCACATTCGATTGCCGTCAATGGATGGTAATCGATGAGCTTGAGCTTGATTGACCGCCCACGGTTGCTACTCTGTTACTGCCAGATCAGCTGTAATTACACAGAGAACCAATAGACGATGCTTGGGACTAGCAATCATCCTCAATGTGTAAAAACTGGTGGTCTTAAATTAGGCAATACCAGCGCCGGCCGCGCCCGAACACAGGTCAAGAAAGGAATGGGAAGGATTGTGTTGACATGACACTCGCTTTGATGGAAGCCGAGAACACCTCTGCACTTCCACGAGGAATCACTGGGATGTTGGATAAGAGGGTTGGGTTTGCAGCAGGGTTCGTTTTGGTAAACGATAAGCTGAATTGATGTCCTAACGATCATATAACGCGAAGGAGCTTGGGACTAAACCCACGGTCTTCTGCTCAGTAAGCAAAAACGTTTGCCACTAGGCAGACGAGCACCTTTTTAATCACCGAGTTGCTGTTATTACCATGTAGTCATATTAACAAATAAAACGGTTGACGAATCTTGAATGTGGATGGGCCTGAGATTAGACTCATGATGTTCTGCTCTAAGGCCACCGAGCCCCTCATATCACATAATACCGTTACACAAATTTGTGTATCCATTCAAACCCGGAACCAACGACAACAACGAGTTTCGCAAAATACACGATACACAAGCGATTTTACCATAAATATCTTTGATATGTAAGGACATGGGACCGCGTTTTTCTGCTCAGTAAGGAGGCCACTGTAACCGACGATCTTTCAAATCCGAAAACTAAAAACTACGAAAAAGTACTTAGGTCTTCATTAAGTTCCACTTTCACGTTTAATGACAGGGTCCTATCCAGGATTACATCTGAAAAATCCAAATCTGGCCAACGCCCACCCTAAACCTAAATCTGTTCTAATCCACCTGAAATGACTAACGAATGGAAGACTTTGAGTACCCAGCCATGCAATAGTCTCATTCCGTGCCTTATGGCAACTTGATGATTCTATTGCGCTCATCTTTTGGCACCACCCAGGGGAGACTTGGTCCTGTACCCAATGCTTAACTTATCTCCATTCCACTCAGCTACTCGCAATTTATTGCGATATAGTGGGCGGAATATTATTATATGAGACAATTCAATGCAGACGTCTTTCCAAATTTAGCAGATCGACAGGTAATCGGTGAGTTACCACGATAGTTGCTATTCAACAACTCGACAACGTCCCATCGTCAACGCCTGCTATGAGAGTTTCCCATTGCAGACGCCAACGAAATGACGTCATCGAGCTATCGATCAACTACCCTGGTTATCGCCTGGTACCTTATAGCACGATGCTAGGAGGCGAACCGGAAGAATCGATGAGCTACCTCTCCCCCCGTCAATGGATGGTAATCGATGTCTGTCGAAGATTGTCAGTAGATTGCGGAACAGAGACCGACGTTAATTAAATAAAGGAAACCATGATTTCAACATTTCCTGCTCCGTAGTGACAACTTTAGGATGCTTACGGAGTTCGTGCTTTATAGCCCAGTATCTTTCGATTGGTCGCAACTCCGGTGTGTTTAGGGGATTGAGATCCCATTCATCTTGTACCACTCCAGAACGTCCTTGGAATAGTGACAAGAGGCTAGATCCGGCCAAAAAATGGTAGGAACGTCCTTTCTTCAGGTACTCAGTCATGTAGACTTGGTCATTTTTGTGTGATTTGAGAAACGGAAGCAGTCCTTTCTTCAGGTACTCTCAGTCATGTAGACTTGGTAATTTACGGTTGTAGTTGTTACGAAAGGCTTGCTCCGTTTTCCGCACGAAAAAATGGCCTGCAAAATCATGAATTTCTTAGGGAACTTCGACAACTTGCTGTTCTCCTGAGGGACTCTGAAACATCGGTACTGGTTTCCCAGAATTTGTTTGAAATCCACTTTTACGTATGTTTCATCGTCCATGATACAGCAGTGTCGTTTTTGTCTACATTTGTGTGTCCTGCTCGTTTCTTGACTTTCTGCACGATACTTTTTGTCAGGTGCAATTTTTTCGCGACATCCCGAACGGAATAGTTGGGCTTCCGTTTGAAGGCTGCAACTACTCGCTTGTGATCTTCAACGCAGTACGAAACATTTTTTCTTGCACTCACTTGCGTTCGATCGATAGTTACACGTTCTTCGAAACGTTTTATGACACGATAAACAGTAGATTGTTGTTGTTGTTGGCTCGATGCGAAAGATGTGGATTGTTGAGGTGAGTGTGCAAAATTTTCTTGCTCACGCGCTGTTCCTCCTATTCCATTTTGAAAACTACTAGAAATGTCACAATGAAACTCACGCAGTGTAAACAATACACCCTGAGGCCATCTCACCCAAAATTTCATTAAAATTAACCCGAACGGCAAAATGTTACAGCTTTTTGAAAGTGATGCAATTTAACAGTGGACACCCTTTACTCGAGTACAACAGTCGGTATTAAAAGATAATCCGAGTTGAGAATGCACGGTTTCTTATTGCTGATATTTATAAGGTTCATTAGTAAGCACCATGCGTTTCCATTAGCAATGCATTGTAAGTAATCCGTTATCATGAGCACCTGGATATATCTGCTTATGCTGCAATAAATTTGACAAAACCGATTTCGTTCATATTTACAGAATTGGCCCGGACGCGCTGCCAGCCTGTTTGGTAGATAACGAGCTCACCATGCCCATGTACGAAATGGCGGGCCTGGGACCGTACAATTTGAACAACTTTCTACGCGATAACGAAGCCATTTCCAATAGTAAGTGCTCCATCGAACCGGTGACGGATCGCTCTTTTGCAATGCTAATGTAAAATTCAGTTGAATTTTCAGTTAACCCACCGTAAAACATTTATTTCCCTATCAACATGCTAAATGTCCGCACCGTAGAGCCACACTTATTGTTTTCACTGAAGGTTCACTCGAGAGCGCTCTCAAATGCACCTTCACTGACAACACCGAGTGTGGCTAAGCCGTGCGGAAATTTTGAGGATTAATAGCAGTTTTAAGATGGGATAACTGAAAAGTCAACTGGATTTAACGCAAGCATTCTATATTAAAAAGTAATGAAAGTCCCAAAAGAGCGATCCATCCCTGCGTCGAACCATCATTCTTTTGAGTTGACTTTTTGATGTCATAACGGCATCCATTGCAAACAGACAAAACTCTTGTGCTGACCCGGATGCGAGTCGATCCAACGTCCTGCAAACGAATGAACAGCCCGTACGTGATGTGTGCGCAAAACAACAAATTTCTGGTTCCACAAACGTGTAGAGTGAGATTTCCACGCTACTGTCTTAGCCCAATTTGGTATTCATGCTATTTTATTGTTTTCGAACAGGTAGAGCACGGTGGTCCACTGGAGCGCGAAACTTGGCACTATGACCGGTACTACACTTACGTCTTCGGCCTAACGGCAGCCGGGGAGAATTGCGGCTTCGGTAAAGAGGCGTACTTCGTGCGAACATCGGCCCACATCAAGTGGATCGAATCGATTGTACTGGGAAAGCAACAACAACCTCAGAACCGACGTTTTCGACGTCAGATTGTCTTCCCGGATGACGATTATTTCTCGTCGAGCTCGTACAGCATGCTGGGAGTACCCTGTAGGACGGCTCAAAATTCCGCAGGTGTTTGTCAGCATTACAGAAACTGTCCGAATGTTAATATGTCAGCACTTCTTCTAGTAAAATTTTGCCGCCACGGTTTGGATCCGATCGTTTGCTGTGAGAAGCCGGCCGAAGAGGAAAAGTTCAGCATGAAGAAGTGCGTCAGCTACTGGAAACAATACAAGCGACGAGAGGACGACGAATATGAAAGCATTCCTTCGGAAGGGCGACCCGTTCAGGAGGGAGAATATCCACACGTGGCTCTTGTCGGCATCCAACAGAATGGACGGTCCTACTGGAGTTGCATTGGAGTCCTCGTTAGCGATAGGTTCGTTCTATCCAGTGCCGACTGCGTCAAATCTCGTAGGCAGAATGTTGTGCGCCTGGGGGCTGTCGAACTGGAAAAGGGTACTCAGGATATTTCCGTTGAGCAAATTACCTTTAATCCGGGATACAACACTGCGGCATCGAAGGGAAATTTAGCATTACTCAAGTTAGCATCTAGGGCCATTTTCAGCGACAGAGTTCTTCCGGCTTGCTTGTGGCCGAACCACTCCTCCGTTCCCTTGAAGCTCTATACCTTAGGACTTGATGATGGTATGTTAAATTGTTGCTAATAAAATAACCGAAGAATTACTGAATAATTATTCCTCGCAGATCACGTCATCGTCCGTCCACGTGTGGCTCGATACAACCAAGACTGTCGTAAATTTTATCAGCTCACAAATCTCGTCGACGAGGAACAATTTTGTGCTGAAAACTACTACTTCACCAACAATTCGTGTCAGGATAGGAACGGAGATCCATTGGAAGGAATTATTTCAACCGGAGACATCAAAATTTCCATCGTCGTTGGACTTTCCTCGTACAACGTGGGCTGCCCCGGAGAATCCGACTCCATTACAATCTACGCAAGGCTTTCGGCATACAACAGTTGGATTCGTTCGATTGTAGAATCATAATTTATTTAATCGCAGTTTTGAGAAAGAAATGCAACATACCCTTTCAAGTGGAAGTAGGACTAGTAGGTATACACTGGAATTACATTAATATCACACCCTAGAGTAGACTACGGCCATTCATCGTCTCCGCCGATTGCTATGAAATCGTTGACAGTTAGCCAGGTGAGACCATTACCTTCAGGTTTGTGACCTGATGGGAGCAGAATGTGCCGCCACCAAGTTCGTTTACGAACCAATCCCAGGAAAAGTCTCCAGTTTCGCCTAGCACCAAAATCGTACGGATTTTGATAGGTTTTTCCAAGCGCAGAGAGTCGTTTCGTTTCTGATTTGTTGATGTGTGCTTCAATACTGGATTCTCCCCGTGTGATCAGGGAACTATGCCATGAGGTAAGAGCTCCCAAGGCGAATAGCGTAGCCACATTAATTAGAGCCATAAAAATAATTGCTCGATGTTTCGCTGCATTGCTACTGTACTCCTGCGGGACGGGTAGATCGTGCTGCGCAGGAGCTAGTCCATCGTCCACGTAATCGTTCATCTCAGTCTTTAATAGCAAAAGTGGATTTTTTCAGAGATTAATTCATAAACGTCAACGATGATGATCTTATACAAACCACAGGAATTATATGCCCGGACAAATTGAAGCGAACCGGATGCCCATGCAGTGGCTCTACCTCGTTCCAGCCTTCCCCGTCTCCCACGATTAATACATTGTACCCGAGTTCGAAACCGAAGGCAATAATGAACAATACTCCCACCGTTGTGTAGAGCATGTAAAGGAAAAAGTACCGATGATTTCCATAACCCACGCAATTATTGAGCCAAGCTAAAACAGAAATGATCTGTGGTCAAAACTAACACAACCAACAGTTACTGAAACATTCTACTAACGACAATGATGGTCCATCTTCAGAACACACCGGTTGCACACCGAACAGTGATGGGTCCGCGGAGGCTTTGGAGCGATACATTTCTTACAGATACTCACAGCCTCGACTATCAGTTCCTTCTACATTCCAAATCATAGATTATTCCCCCACCCTACCGAGAACAGAAAATCGCACACTTACCTCCGGCGGATACCCTGGAGATGTTACTGTCGCTTTGTAGAAATTATAAGCCACATTCGCCAGCAACCAGTTGCCCACGATCAGCAGGAAGTATGTCGTGTTTGGACTCTTGTTCCACCAGTAAGGTAAGCCGATCCAGTAGCAAATGATGACAACGGCGGCCGTCAGGCAAACCACGGCGAATACAAAGAACTGCAAATAGATATTAGAACTTCATTTAATTCATACAAAAACTAAACTCAATACGAGCTTCGAATTCGAACCGGCCCTAGTAGATGGGTAAAGTTGTCCACGAACCAAAAGATCGGTTCCAGGCAAACGTCCGACGCGTAGGACTGACTCATATGGTGATTGTATGTTAGTGAGCGGATACATTGCAGGGAGTAGTGATATCGGAAGCGAATGCAATTTCTGCCAGGGGGAAATAAGACTTATTAGATCATCACAGCTTCAATAAATAACTCCGTTGGCTTCATGCAACTCGGGCACAACTCATAAATGTGACCGTTTGTTTACCGGTTGAAATCAAGCAAACCGCTTTGATACATCTCATTTTTAAAAGCTTGCTCTAGATTGACAAAACATCACAATTCAGTCATAAAATCTCCATAAAAAAAATATCAAAAATCAAGTAAAACTTCCCACTAATTTTATTTTGAGTTGTGTCCCTATTGCATGAAACCGATGACTTACGCTAGTTTCTTTGGGAACTCTCTCAGACGCCACTGAATGCGACTCATTTTCGCTGACTCGATGACCTAATGGTTTCACTCGCAGTATCTAGATCAAAATGTTATGCCAATGAATTTGGATTATAATAAGAAAACATCACATATCTCTATTGTTTCACTTAAATATTCCATTTTAAATTTTCTGAATAATCTAAAGATGCTTTTTCCACCGCGGTTTACACATCTTTATTTACCTTTGCGCACGCACGCAGCGCTGTCAAACTGAGGACTCTTCAATAATTGTGTAACGTTACTAGCCGTTCTCGGATGGAGGAATAATAAAGTAGGGGATTGTGGGGCAAGATGGCATTCCTGAGATGTTTTTTGATAGAATTTTCTTCCTATATGAAAACTCCTTCAAAACTCCTCTCGAAAATCCAGATGCTGCCAACGGAAGTTCCCAGAGACTTTCGATGAAGTTTTCACGCATTATCGGTGAAAGAAGTTTTGGACGATACCAGTGAAGAGATTGGATGGTGCAGACGGAAGTTCCAGGGAATATCGATGGCGTTTTCTCACCCCTAATAAACAAATACAATAAACGAACGATAACCCAAAATGTCGAACTTTTCCACATATGGTTTGGATGATACCCCAAACACGTCGTTAAGCAAAATAACCATACACATTTTATTAGGGACGTTATCGATGGACGAGGTTCTGTGTGATTTCGGTGATTTTGGAAGCTGCCAGCGGGAGTTTCTGGAAGTGAAAACGGATTTTTCTAGCTTTCTAGGTGGAGGAGGTTCTGGATCATTTCGAAGACTGCCAACGAAGGTACTACACACAAAGAAAAATCGTTGCTAAAATTAAAAAAATCATTGATAGAATTAAAAGTTCACATTGGTTCTTTTTGGTAGAAAGCGGTTGACTTTCAAAACAAAAGTCAGCCAACTGTTAAATCAAAAATTGTTCGCTCTGTACTTTTAAAAGTTAAAGCTTTCAAAATAAATTGTATTACTGTCAAATTAAAAACACGGTAGTGATAGAATTAAAATCAGGTTCTTTTCAATTCAAGACGAAGTTTTGGTTTGAAAATGTGATATAGTTAAAACGATAAGTAACATTTTGAAATAAAAAATACACATTTTCACCGTAATAATATCTTTATTCATTTTAAATTCTAAATAATATTTAATTTAAGGTTTTCAGATATTAGAAAAATAGATTAAAATACATTTATTATCCATTTCCTTTACAAGCGTTATGCAATGAGATTCACGAAGAGGCACAATCCCGTCAAGTAAAGGTCGCGTGAAGGAACACAAAATCCGGACACTGGCAAGGCAAGCTTGATATTGTTTACCATTTCGCAATCTGTAAATCCTATGCCACAGCTTCATAAAGTACCAACTGGTGACGGGTTTTACGGGCAGCGGGTTCTCGTCCTTCTCCCGATCAAAGTTTAATTTACCTTTTCGGTTATTATCCAGCAGGGCTTGATCCTTCTCCAACAGGAATTTGATAACGTCGATACCGAAAACTGTCGCGACTTCGTCCTGGTAGATTCCATAGTCTGATAAAAAAAAGAATCTAAAAATCCAATAACAATAGCAATGAAAATAGTGTACTTACCATTTGGAATGCCAATTTCACGTGGGTTTCTACATACCAGCAAATAATGTCGGAATATTCAACTAAGAAAACTTCAGTGTCTGGTATCCCACAGAAGAATCCTGACTCTTGTGGTAACTTCAGAGCTGCATTTCATGTTCACAGCGGCCAGACTAGCAGAAAAGGCGGCATATGAGATGTCAGTGCAGCCACTAAAAACATCGCTGAGGGGTACTTTTGACAGTTTAACAACTTTTGTTTTAAAAATATGTACTTTTAAAACTACGAATCAAAAGTAAAAGAAAAACTTTCAATTAAAAAAACTTACTTTTATTTTGAATATTTTTGCTGTTGAATCTACAAATTTTGGGAAACTTTTAATTTGAAAATGCATTATTTTTATTAATACAATTTTCGTTGTTTGTGTGTAGGAACTTATTCTTGTCCTGATAAAGGGTTCATCCACCAGGATTACGTTTGACTACATACATTACATTGGGGCTACATTGAGTTTGTTGATGTTGACAAAAAATTAATTACAATTACATAAAGTATGGCCCATTAAAAGATGCGAAATTTCGATGGCGTTTTCTTGCGATCTTGGTGTATGAGGTCCCATTCGGTTTCGGTGGAGATTTATGATGCTGCCAGCGGAGGTTTAAGCTAATTTTAACGGAGTTTTCACACGTACTTAGTAGAAGAGGTTTTTCACAATTTTGGCGGAGGTTTCTGATTCTGCCTGTGGATGATCCAGATTCGTCGGAGTTTTCTCGCATTCACGGTGGTGATTTTCGGTTCTGCCAACGGAAGTTTCAGGCATGCTTGGCGTACACAGATTTGGTCACAAACTGCTCATTTCCTAATAACTTTGCACTGGAAGAGTTATGTTATAAATACGATTCTATCTGAACCAGATCGTACCACTTCCAAGCAGAGGAAGGAGTCGATCAGAAGGCGTGGATATCGGATATATGCTGATGAACTGTAAGGAAAAGGCATTGACCACTGTATTCTTACACTTAACGTCGCAGATGAGTCCTAGTATTATCAAGCTACAGAAGACGGTGACATCCAGAACCTACAACTTGTGAACGAAAAAGCTTCTGATCACGTGGTCCAAGGTAAAAAACAGTCATGGTAGGTATTAATACCAGATAGTTCGAAGTATGATCGCCAAGCAGTATGTGATACGAGCCTGCGCCGATGGTCCGGCAAAAATACTGCCCTCCTCCAATGCACATTGCACGATCACCGGGAGTGCATTGTTACAGCTGTGATCCGTCTGTGATTACGGATTACGATGTATCACCGATATATGGGGATATTCCCAACAAACAATTCGAAGTCACAAATAAGCATACACATTGAATAAATGCTGTATAACAGTGTACAATGCTGAATAAAACAAGATGTTGAATTATGTGCTGAAAAAAGCTCATTGAGATCGATAGATGTGCCTTTATTACGCCGTTTGCTCTGATATGATTAATTTACTTATTAAAAGCTTTATAAACGTTGACTGTCTTCCTGATTCAGAACCAGAAGTTTGATCTAATAACAAACTGAATAAGTGTAATTTGCACATACATTGTTGCTCTAATTCGACTGTTTTCAATTGCTTTAATAAAATGCTTTATTAGACGTCTAATAAATGTTTTCTAGCTCCATTATTAGATTTCATAGCATTGCTTTACAATATTGCTGTATAAAGGTGAATACAGTCAGCAAAATAGCTCTTATACCACTATGCGTCCATGTTTTAGTTGAATGCTTTGTAAATGCTTTATAAACGACGTATTAGATTCATTATTCCACAACACTGCCCAAAAACAATTCAGAGTCACAAATAAGTATATAGATTGAATAAATGCTTTATAACAGTGTACAATGCTGAATAAAACGGGTTGTCAAATTATGTGTTCAGAAAACCTCATTGAGATCGATGATGCACCTTTATTCCACTGATTGCTCTGATTTGATTGATATACTTATTAAAATCTATACAAACGATGACTGTCTTCCTGATTCAACACCAGAAGTTTGATCTAATAACATACTGAATAAGTGTAATTTGCACATACATTGACGCTTTAAGCCGACTGTTTCAATTGATTTAATAACATGCTTTATTATACGTCTAATAATTGTTTTCTAGCTCCATTACTAGATTCCATTGCATTGCTTAACACTATTGCTGAATAAAGGTGAATACAGTCAGCATAATAGCTCTTATACCACTATGCGTCCATGTTTTAATTTCACGCTTTATAAATGCTTTACAAACGGCGCATTCATTCATTATTCCACAACAGTGCTTCAGGCTAACAACAAAACGAAATTGGTAACATAGTGGTTACCGTTTCCGCTTTCCAAGTAGAAGGTCGCGAGTTCAATCCCAGCCTCAACCCTTTTTTTTTATTTATGTTCTACTCCTAATTAATTTAAATCGTAATCATAAATCGTATCACTCACGACAACCAATTCATAGATCTATCGAAAAGAATAGCATCCTTTCCATCGAAATTAGAGCGATTGAGAGGTAACGTTGGTCTAATGTTAAACAACTACGAATGAATTAATCATTCTCACATCTTCTTGAATTAGCTAGAGTTACGGCTGGAAGCGCTGATAGGTTTTCAGATTCAAGCTTTTATTGCTTATTTAGCTGCTCATATGATGTATCTATAGGATAACTCAGATGGCAAGGCAAGCGGCTGGTGATCGGAAGGTTATGGTTCGAATCCCATATAATAATGACATGTGTGTGTATGCGAGGGGCGATTCACTTGTGTATTTTCGATTCAGGCCAACGTATTGATGAACGTATTGAAGTATTTTTTATCGAATAAACGTGTATTTTGCGTATTAATGTATTATTTTGCACTTTTTGAATATATGTAATTTTTTGTGTATTAGAAAAATAAAAGTGTATTTTTATGCATTAATGTATTGAAAATCAGTTATAAGTGTATTCTGTCAATTCAGTGTTTATGTTTACCACTCGAACCGATTATCAAACGGATCAAACTCACAATGTTGACGTTTTGTTTGACAAATGCACAGCACACGCTAACTTTGAAATACCCACTGATGAGTAGAATTTCACCCAATTAAAAGAAAAGAGGCTTAACTCATAAACTCATTAGGGGCTTGACATTAGTTGCGTAGACAGATTCTTGAGCCACCCCACCCACCTACGTTGACAATTGTCCATACAAAACTTTAAAAATGTGTATGGGCCGTGGATAATTGCCAACTAACCCCTCCCCCCCCCCGTAGTTTATGAACAGCCCCTTACCTCGCTCATTACGCATAAATAAGCATCTGTTACCAAGTCTGTTACGCCTTCTTTACTTATTTTTGGGTCACAACTACTCATTAATGTTTTTTTTTATTTAATAAACGATTTAAGGCACTTTTCTTAAAAATGGGTGAAATCCTACTCATTAATGCATTGTTTTGTGATTCGAGCTCGGATTAAAATATAAAATAATAAATTTACGCATTTTGTCCGAATTCAGCATTTTGATTGTACATATTTCGAATTTTTCGTGCAAATGACGAACTATCGTGTATTTTTATTATTCGTCGAATATTTGTGTATTTTTTTCCGAATTTTGTATTTTTTTGCATTTTTTTGAGTAATGACGAGTTATGATGAATTTTTGTGTATTTTTTTCATTCACGTATTTTCGATTCATTTCTGAGAGCAGTGAATTGCCCCTCGTGTGTATGTATGTATATGTAATAAATTCGACAGAAATAATGACACAACAATCACTAACGAGAACAACCCTGCTCTGTGCCGTTCTTATTTTCGGATTAATTATCCCGTAGTTGAATAATCGTTTAATAAATGTATAATAGTGTCTAATTAAACATTATTTTACATGAGATTCAAGCGTCTATATACACCTTTATAGTATAGATTTGAATATTTTTTAATGTTTGCCTTGTACGAATGAGTAAAACAGACTCACTGTTTGAGTTAGTTTTGTTTTCAGTGTTGTAACGCTTCAAATTTTCCCTAATGTGGCACAGACCTGTTGACTCGGAAATGATTTGAAACGCTGAAAAGCCTGAAAAGCTGATCGCGTCGCCTGTCATACGTATAAACAAAACAAGAACAGTATTTTTCGTTGCATTATTTTCATACAGGGAAATTCGGAAGCGTTTCGTAAACTATAAATTTCATATAAAAAACTGTGATTATTGATAAACTGTACCGTTAAAAATGGGATTTTTAACTATCTTGAAGAAAATGAAGCAAAAAGAAAAGGAAATGCGAATATTACTGCTGTAAGTAGAATGTTTCTGAACCCATCTGCTTTTCACTTCTGAACCGATGACTAATCGTCGCTTATCTCCAAATCAATACAGTGGATTGGACAATGCCGGTAAAACGACAATCCTCAAACGGTTCAACGGCGAGCCAATAGATCAAATTTCTCCAACGCTCGGTTTTAACATTAAAACCTTGGAGTATAATAACTACACACTGAACATGTGGGATGTGGGTGGACAAAAGTCGCTCCGGTCGTACTGGAGAAACTACTTCGAGTGTACCGACGGGCTGGTGTGGGTGGTGGACAGTACCGATCGAATGCGTATGGACTCGTGCCGGGAGGAGCTGGCTTTGCTGCTACAAGAGGAGCGATTAGCCGGAGCTACACTGCTGGTGTTAGCTAATAAGCAGGATTTACCAGGAGCACTCACGGCGAATGAAATCAAAGAAGTGCTGCAGTTGGAGAAGATTGAAACTCATCATTGGGCGATCCACGGAGTCAGTGCCGTAACGGGAGGGAAACTGGTGGAAGCCATCGATTGGCTTGTGGATGACATTTCCAAACGGATTTTCACATTAGATTAATTGGTAAGTCTTTTATTGCATAAATATAATCTTATTTATTTACATGAGTTTTTGGCAATGAGAAATTCCTGTATTCAGACTGAAGAGCATTAATGGATAGCATTGTATCAGGACGGTTGCAAATTCTCTTGAATCCAATCCATATACTCTCCCACCCTGGTGTAGACGCTAGGAACATTTTGAATTCCACATGTATCCAATCCTATGGAAACTATTCCATATTGAATGAACCGGGGATATCTACCGACCTTTACGACCATTCCGAGTGGCCCCCCAGAGTCTCCTCGACAGCTGTCCATCAGATTTTTACCACCGGCACACATCTGTTTGTTATTCAGTGAAATCCACAACCGCTGCTGTTGGAGAATTTGCGTGCATTGCTCGTTGTCTAACCGCGGGACGGTAGCTTTCAGCAGAACATCAGATAACTTATTCGTCTCTGTTTTACCCCAACCGGTTAGGATGTACTTGGGGAAGACCATCTTTTGGGACTCGGACGTAACTGGGAGGCAGATTGGCTTAATGTGGTCTGTAAGTAAAATTTGCATTTTGAGCAACCAACTTGAAACTAACGGGAATTGTTTGCTCTTACCTTGAAAATGGGCTCGGCTCTTCAAACGGATCAATCCAATATCGTTTGAAAATTTTGGTTTATTGTATTGAGGATGAATCATAAGCTTCTCTATCTTTATATCTTGCACCGGCCCAGCGCAGTCTCCATCGAATCCTTCGCAATCGATCTCGGTTTTTTTGTTGTGTTCTCCCAATCGAACGTGGTCTCTAAAGGTAACAGAAATAGTCAACATTTGCGATACTTATCAATTATGCTAGCTGCTTAAACACTTACAAAGTTAGAGTATGTACCCGCAGGCAGTGTGCCGCTGTTAGGACATATCGATCGTTGATCAATGTACCACCACAACCATCGACAATGCCGCCTTCGAAGTCCCGATACCGTAGCAAAGCCATCCAAGGAAACTCGAATACGCCGGTCTCGTCCCCTCCGGCAACTCGGTCAGCCGTTGTAATTCCACATTCTGTCGGCAAGAGGGATATATCTGGAGCAGGTCTCTCGATCTCATCCAACTGACAGCACACGGCGTATTTCACGTTCGGAAGATGACACGCTGACTGGCGAATGAAGCTTTGCTGAGCTGGCGGAATCATAGTTTGAGTCTTGAACATATTCAAAATGTGTCGACACCGATGCACTGTTATACATTGTCCCGGTATACTGTTTGGCGTTGTGCAAGATAAACTTTCTATATAAAAAAAAGGTAAATTTGGATTAGTCTGGCTTATTGTGTTTGTTCGGTAAATATGCATTTTTAATGGGGGATGACCAAAAACGGCCACACGGGGAACGCAACACAACCATGCAAATCAATCATCACGATACACGCAGTTGCTTCTTGTCACATGGAGTCATCTGAGTCATCTTTATTGTAATTATTATTGATCCGAGAACGTCCAATAAATGACAGTATTATACTATAATTTATTGGACGTTCTCTGATCAACGTCATCGAGTCTGTTGTATTGAGAAAATTTTCCAAGCATTTGAGATAGCAAATGTGCAGAAGGACTTCTACAATTTCGGGGAATTACAAACTGTCAACGTAAATTTCAGATCTAGGCATTCGATACCCACACGAGTCCATCAGTATTCCATTCCAGTGGCACTTTGCTGTGGCTACATGCCTCAATTTAATAGTATATACTTGTATGTAGGAAATTGTTTCCACGCACAGATGGGTAATCCCCCACGGCCTGACATGGATGAAGCTATCACCTGCCCTTGTCCTTCTGCTTCTAGCACGATTCTCCATCCCGTTCCATCTGCTATACGGCAGCCGGGTATTTGAATACGACTCGCAATGTTGCCTACTGTCAAAGGTATGGATTGATATAAGGATGCCAACTCCCTGGTAATTCCCCATCGCGTTGCGCTGCTGCCGCAAGTCTAGTAAGTGTTCACTGAAGTGGATACTTTTAGTTGCTTTCGAAATGGATGGGCTTTGATGATTCAATGTGGCATACTATACGTTCACCCCGCAAACATGGATCAACAAGAATTGGTTCATGACTCATTTTCCCAGAGGCGCTAAAAACAATGATTGATGTATAACATTTTACGGTAACACCATTTCGTGGTGTACCGTTCCGCGGTGAGCCAATTCGCGGTTTACTATTTCGCAGTCTCAACTATTTTAAACTGAAGAGATAACATGATATGAGTTATTAAATAACAAAATAAATATAACGTTTTTTAGGAGAAATTGTTTTCTTTCGAAGGTATTTGTGATGCTTTTATCGATGTTGTCTTGCACAAAATTCGTAAAACTATATTGTTTTGCATTGTTCTTTACTACAAACTTACTCCAACACTAGTAAATCGATAAAAACATGTTGAGCTTTGAAGTTAATTTAGTCGAGTAATCAACAGCGAAAATCGGCTGACTGAATCTATTAAATAGGCCGATTGCTCGGTTAATTAATACAGCTACTGAAATTTGATTTTCTTTTTTCATTTTGCAGCGTTTGGTGGGGCAATGTGAGCGCAAATCAATCCAAAGCCGAGGATTAGGGAAGGGTAATATCTCAATTGCCTATGCGGACCACTTGAACGTCATTATTTAAAAATGTTTCATAAACACACATTTCTATTACAAAAAATCAATGTAATTTGTATATTTATTCGTGACGATAACCAATCAACTTTTCTCAGGGTCAAGGGAGTGGTTTCTGGAGAAATAATGGTTAAATATAAAGGTTAAAAATTACCAGGATTCGCATTGTTTTTTAGGTATCGCTGCCACGAATATTATATTAATTGTGAACCTAACTTCAACTTTCATATTTTGAAATTCATGATGTTTAATGTTGAAATAACGAATAAAAAAACTACAAGGGACAGCCCCATGGGGTTGTACGCAATGGTGACGTAGGACTATGTGGTCTTATATAATAAATCTTATTTGTTAACTGCTGCAGGAGCTTGTGTTTTGTGTAGGAACAGGAATTTGAGCGGGGTTCTCTCTGTTTATAATCTTTAGTATGACGCCCTTGACATAAATGGCCCAAAGCGACTCACGAAGAGCTACTGATTCCGATCAATAGCTGTGCGGCTTCTTCCTCCTTCTAAGGATGGTCATGTGTGTACTGGAGAACACCAGCACTAACCACGTGGTGATTGAATAAACACCGTTTGGTGAGACCGGTTGGAATTCAACTTTGAAATCTGTGTTAGGGAAATCGCTTTTCGCAGGCAATCGGTGATAATCTTAATTATCATTGCAACAGTTGCACATTTGTGCATGTTTTAATAGTGACATTTTGTGTGGTGATTATACCACAAGCGGCATTGGTATCATTAAATGTAGGGGAGTTGGTTCTCCGGACTAGTGGTGGACTCGCGGCGGATAGTGTCCTTCGGGTGTGGTTTTCACCGTAACCAAAAAATGCGAATTGTGGATGATACGTGGTACACTGAACTACTGTACTCGGAACTTTATTTACTGCGATAGAATTTTAGATGTACACTCGTCGGTAGCTTTATTGTACTGATTTTTATTCGATAATCTGATACGGGCTATCAGTGAAGAGAGGTTGTGTGTGCCCTATATGGTGTGTGAGAAATCCTACCTACGGGCTTTCTTCTCTGCTTTGTGGCATGCAAAATAAATTGAGTATGAGTGCCCTACTTCAACTGGCACAAATTCATTTAGGGTAAATTTTATAATTATTAGAAGTGCCTTAACATACCGCCCACCATTGAAATCTAAATTTCAATCCTGTCTTCTATTTGTGTGGGTTTGCTTTATGAGTTACTGCTATATAACAAATTCAAATTCAATATTTTCAACAATCTGCATTCGTTGATTCCAGCTTCTCCATTAACGGTTGTCAGATGATCGGTTGAAACTCGATGAACTTTGATCAATGGGTGTAGGTACGCCGGGTGGAATTCATCCTCTCGATCGTCACGTTCACGGATAGTCGGGGTCCAGGGTTCCTGCTGATACGGTTGACTTTAGGTCGGAGAAGACAAGGTCCCCTCCCATCCGACATCGCTTGTGTTGCTGGAACCTCGAACGACTGCAACTATGTTGATTCTTGGTCAGCTGGCTGATTGTCAGGAATAGGCAGAACGCAAACGCGTGTGATTGCCCTCTTGTAAGTGCCGTCCTTGGTTCGGATGTTGACGACTCGGATGAGCCCATCGTTTCCAGGAAACACTTCAGTTACTCGGCCAAAACGCCACTTCTGCGGCGGTAGATTGTCTTCACGAACTAACACCATCGTTCCGATGCGAATGTTGTCGCGCTCACGTGTCCATCGGGTTCGCTGCTGTAGTCCCGATAAATATTCGGTTGACCATCGCTTCCAAAGACGACGGAGATATTCCTGGATCATCTGCCATTGTGAGAGTTGGTTGCTGGGTAGTTCTTCATAGGACGGCTCCGGGATTGCGGTCAGTGGTCTGTGCACCAAGAAGTGACCTGGCGTAAGGACGTTCAAGTCCTCGGGAGAATTACTAAGCTGTGTTAGAGGCCGGGAATTGAGAATCGCCTCGATTTGCGTAAGCAGCGTGTGGAATTGCTCAGTGGTGACCAAAGCGTTCGTAAGCGTGCGACGGAGGTGCGTCTTCAGGGATTTTACCGCTGCTTCCCAGATGCCTCCGAAGTGGAGTGATCTCGGAGGGATGAAAGAGAACTGAATGCCCTCAGTGGAGCACTGTCGTGTAACATCCTGGCGGTTCTGTTGGGTGTGAAACAGCTGCAGGAATTCGTTTAGCGTTCGTCGAGCTCCGACAAAGTTGGTTGCATTGTCACAGTAGATGGTCTGTGGTACTCCTCGGCGTGCTGCGAACCTCTTCAAGGAGGCGATGAATGAATCTGCGGATAGGTTGCCTACCAACTCGAGGTGTATTGCCTTGGTTGATAGACAAACGAATACTGCCACGAACGATTTCGGCGGAGCAGCTTTCCGGGTAGGTGGCCGAAGATAGAATGGACCGCAGAAATCAACTCCGGTATTCAGGAACGGTAAGGTTGGTGTTACTCGAACCGATGGCAAGTCTGCCATGATCTGCTCGTTGAAACTTGGACGGTTGCGGAAGCAGGTGACGCATTCGTGCGTGACTTTTCGTACGACATCACGCAGCCGAAGAGGCCAAAACTTAGCATGAACGATTGCTATGAGGAGCGTAGGTCCAGCGTGCAGATGACTAAGGTGATAATACCGAACGACTAGAAGAGTGAACGGATGCTTGTTATCCAGGATCATAGGCTGCTTTTGAGCATACGGTATCGCTGCATTGTTGAGGCGACCTCTCGTCCGAAGAACACCATTTACTAGCACTGGAGATAGTGCCTTCAGTTTTGACGTAGACTTCACTTGACCGGTGGTGCGGACGGACTGCAGATCTTCCACGAACGATTCTTGCTGGGCAAGTTTGACCAAATTGACTAGCGCGTTTTCCAATTCAGCCGTAGACAGGGGTCCGAATCTCTTGGTTTCTTGGTTATGCGTCTTCGTATTGCTGCAGAATCTTCGGATGTAGGCAACCAAGCGAACGAGACTGGAGAGGGATGATTTAAGTGTGAATATGGTGCTTTGTACGACTGTTGGCAGGGAAACCGTAGGTCTATCCTGGAGTTGCTCTTTGCTGAAGAGATCGTCGGAAGTTCGAACCAGACCGGGCCAAAATCTGTTAGGTTGTTGCAACCACTGAGGTCCTTGCCACCACAGCGTGTGTTCCACAAGCTCCATTGCTAGCATTCCACGGGATATGACATCTGCTGGATTCTCGATACCTGGGACGTGTCTCCATATTCCGGAAGCAGTGATTTGCTGGATTTCGGCCACACGGTTGCCAACAAATTTCTTCCAGCGAGACGGTGAAGCGGCCAACCAGTGGACGACAATCGTTGAATCAGTCCAGCATAGACCAGCTTTCCTGACTGATTCAAGCCTTTGGGAAGGATTTATGTTATTAAAGGAATCACATTTGAAAGGAGAATGGAAAGGTTTTTGACAGTGTGGACAAGCTTTCTTTTGCGTCGTGGTTGTTGTGAGTGTAGAGCCGAATTTGGACTTAATCGCCGTTCTTCCGTGGTCTTGACGAGACTCCGATCCTCGAGGCTTCGAGGACATCAGAGGTTGCAAGGTTGCAAGGTGATCACGCAGAAACTTCAACATATCATCGTACTTCGGAGCTTCACGGGAGTTGTGAGCTCGCTCCCAATGCCTTTGAGTA